TATCCAATGTACTCAGTCTTACTATGAAACCAATTTATAGCTTTCATATGAAAGTTATAACCCAAATATAGCGCAAGAAGATGGGGAAAGGGGAGAAGGAGGGGAGTAGAGGGGGAGGATGGGTGGAGGGAGAGTAATTGGTGGGACCACACCTACAGTGCATCTTATAAGGGTACATGTAAAATTTAGTAGGTGTAGAATATAAATGTCTTAACACAATAACTAAGAAAATGTCATGAAGGCTACGTTGACCAGTTTGATGAAAACATTTCAAATTGTATATAAAACCAGCACATTGTACCCCATGATTGCATTAATGTACACAGCTATTATTTAATTAAAAAAAAGAATTCTGTTAAAAAAAAGGCTTGGGAATCATAAAAATATGTTTGAACCAATAAAATATATGAGTAGTAAGCTAGTCTGGGTGATATTAACTTAGTGCCTTGTGTTTCTATGGGTAGTATTATTTCATAGTAATATTTCAAGAATTACATAAAAGATATATGTGGAATAGATGCCTTCATCTTGAAAGTGACATCTACGTGCTGGCATTATTGTTATGTTAGGTCAGTCAAATCTTCACTGAATGATCGCTTACATTGGAGGACATTCAGCAATCCTGGCATACCAGCTCAAAATCTCAGTAGCATCCCCCATGTCAAGTCATTGTGACAACCAGGGAAGAACCCCACATATTTCCAAACCCTAAGAAATAACACATTCTCCACCTTTGTAGAGCACCACAGAGAAGCATCTTGTTTTTCTACCACTGAGGAATGAAAAGTTAGAATTACATCTGAACTACGATGATAGAGAAATAGGCAAATTCACAAATGGGTAAGTGGATAGGCAGAGAAGTAGGTGGGTCAGACAGACAGATACAAGATTTTATAGCATATATTTAATAGAAAAAGTATGGCTAGTTCTTTACATATTTTCTAGATTTAATCACAGAGAGCACAGTTTAGAAAAGTCCTTAAGAAAAGTCTCTTTAGCTTAATTCCAATTCATTTAGTCAATAAGTATTTACTAAGTACCACCTGAGAGCATGGCATGCAGTGTCTGCCTCAGCAAGCCTGCTCCAGAATGTGACAGAAAGAAGACAGAGGTGTTCTGCCTATCGTGCGTAAAACCACAAGATGATTAATTACACTAAATTAAAGTAACTATTAGAACGTTTAATATAAAGTAATTTTTTAATGGATAACATACATAGAACTCTTTTTAGAAATCAGATATTAAGAATTCAATATCTATCTAAAGGCAGAACACTTGTTCCTATCTAATCATCAATGATATTTGTCCACACATTTTACGTTGGACAAAGTATTAAAATCTGGTTCTCACTTCTTCTAACTGTTCTTATGCACAGGTGAATCAGTTCATGTTTATGAGTTACTAGAGATACAGACACACACACCAAAATGCAAATATAGGAAGGGTACCAAAAAACGTATACACATTGTAAGAAAGGAAAAATCTGTATTAAAATTATAATACTCAATATATACCAATAAAAAAAGATGAATACAAGTCATGTCTGAGCACCTGCAGTAATTGCAAGAGCCAAATATAACTTGAGTATATGATTTTAATATAGTTTTTTCCTTTCTTAAAATGTGTATACATTTTCTGGTACCCTCTGTATATGGTATATATAGTAATTATCTTGTAATTCTGTAGTTAGATTGCCTGTTGAATCCAGTCAAGCTACAAACAGTAATTTATCCCACACAGAATAGATTCTTTGCTTAGTCAAGGGATTCATTAAACAGTTTGTAGGTGTACATTGATTACTGAATAAGCTAGACATCAAAATTAATCTGCATTGGCTATTGCTGGTGCCAAAAAGAGATTGGTTTCCCTCTCTTCTAGATTTCCTGTCAGTTTGAAGTTACTAGGGGGCATTTAAATTAATTAGTACAAGCTAGTGCTCAGGTGCTGATTTCCTATGACATCCTTAAGGGTATAAAAGAGAAATCTACCTTTAAATTACTACATATCATAATATAATAATGTAACCCAAGCATATACAATAAAGGATAAAGTAGGGCAATCAGCAAACATAGAATACTAGTGCATTTCAGAATAGAGGAAAGGAAAGAGAAATAGAAGAAATTAAATGATCTAGTGACGACATGGGGTTGGGCATTAACATGAAGTTCATTTTCAATGATTCAGACCTAAAACTGTAACAGTTTCAGACACAGACTAGCTTCAGTTTAATTCTTCAATGTATTCTAAAAGGAAGATATAATTCTGTGGTACTTTCTGTCTCTAGAGTAAAATACCTATACTAAGGGACTACTATTTGTATTGGGAATCCAATTCCACTGCCAAAAGCAAGTGCCCACAGCAGCCAGGAATTTGTGGCTGGTATGAGAGGAACAGGGTACAGTTACCTATGTTCCTTTTGCTGCCAGCAAAGGGTGGAGGGACATGGTGAATCTTTTACACAATCTTGGCAGCAAAAGGTCGAGATTACTACTCCTCACCCCCATGTGCTGGAATGGCTCAATTTTGGCTCTGAGATTAGAAAGAAGGGGAATGGGAAAGTATGAAAGATGACTCCAGTAACACAACCAATGGCCATAAAGAGAAAGACAGAGCTGTGTTGCGGATGAGCAGGCTTTTACTTTTGTCTTCCTCTTCAGGCTCAACGTTAACAGCCTAGAGTTGTTGTTTCAAGCCCGTGTATAGATTTAGCTAGATATAAAAAATGATCAGATCCTCTTTAACTTGGTTAGATGCTTTCTTGTATGCCCATGTGCTCCTGAACAGAAGAGATGAGCCTGCTGATAGTTCTGGACATGGTATGGATTGTTCCTTCCTCTGTAATGAGATGGTTTTCTCTTCTGGCAGGCAGCTCACTTACAGAGGCTCGTCCTGACCCCCCTGTCAGCCCTGCTGTCCTTATTCCCAGGACCTCACAAGCTCATCCAGAAACGCTATGACAAACTGCTGGACTACAACAGCTACCTGCAGCGGTCTGCAGGAGATGAGTCAGACTTGGCCAAAAGGGAATATGAGGCCCTCAATGCCCAGCTGGTGGAAGAGCTCCAGGTGTTTAACCAGGCTGCTAGGAGGATTCTGTTGAACTGCCTGTGCAGCTTCATCACCCTTCTCCGGGAGCTGATGCTCCTGGCACAGCAGGCTTATTCCACGGTGCTGCCGGTAAGCACAGCACCTTGGCCTACTAGGCCTACTAGAAACCATACCCCTAGAAAACAACTGTCCAGAGTATGCACATGTGTGGTGTCAGGGGTGGGGGGGAGGGTTTGATGTATTTTAACTGAAGCCAGTCAGATGGTCTTTTGCTCCTCATCTTTCTTCCCTATAGGAACTAAAAGAGAGTTTCCTAGTTCAGGTTTGCTATGACTTACACGTTGATAGATCTATTTTGGAGATTCCTCTTCAAGTACCAAACATTTTGCTCCACCTGCCTGATACTACATTGACGCTATGGATTTATATTCTATATTCCTTCCCTAATTCACAGTTCTTAGATGTCAAGCATGGCTATTTAAGATGTGGCTTTTATTAGGTCATACTTTTTGTCCAAGTAAAAGAGGAAGAATATTTACAAAGTAAAATTTGTAAAAAGAAAATAAGATGTGGCTTTTAAAAGAAGGCTAATTCAGCATAATAAGAGAGACAGGATAACTGTCAAGCCATTCTTTGTTTTGCTTTCATTTTTGTTCTAGGAGAAGCTTGGAGGGGTGTGTGTGTGTGCGCTTATGTTCACCTAAGAATACTATTTTATCATTATTTTCCTGATGAGGAAGAAAGACATTTACAACTTGATATCAAAGTAAAAACATCAGCTCAATTTGTTAGCCCTTCCCCTCAAGTATATACGTCTCATTCAGCTGTTAATCTATTCAATGGACACCAGGAGCAGAACTAATTGTCCCTGCTTTATTTTCTATTGGGTATTTAATTAACTTTTAACTTATACTTTAAATTAAATTGAAGGAACAGATGCTGTATTTACATGATTCAAAGTAAAAAACTATATAAAAATGTATAAGCAGTCTCACATACATATCCATCCTCCTAGCATCCCATCCCCCCTCCCCATATTTATTTTTTATCCATTTAGGGCTTCTTTACACCAATAAAAATGAATGCAAATACATGTTTTTAATTTCTAAAACCAAACCCCCAAACTACCATGTTATATACACCATTCTGCAATCTGCTTTTTAACAATATATCCTGGGGTTATTTCCACATCAATACATAGAGAGCTTCCTCATTCTTTTACAGCTTTACGGTAATCTACTGCATGTCTGTATCATGACCTATGACCAGGTCCCCATTTCTTTGGTAACAACTTTATTGTAATATAATTCATATACCATACATATACCCACTTAAAGAACACTTTATACTTAAAAGTGTAAAGATTTTTAGCATATTCACAAGAGTTGCCCAAGCATCACTTCTGACTCATTTGTCATCACCTCCTGTTCTCATCCACATTTCTCCTCAACCACTCCAGCCCTGGGTAACTATCAATTTACTTTCTGCCTCTACAGATTTCCCTATTCTGGACAGTTTGTATAAATTCAGTCATATAATACGGGGTTCTTTGTTACTGGCTTCTTTCATTTAGTATGTTTCAAGGTTCATTTATTTTGTAGTATGTTTCAGTACTTAATTCTTTCTACTGACAAGCAATATTCCATTGTATGGATAGGCCACACTTTACTTAAGTCATTCATCACTTGATGGACACTGAGTTATTTCCACTTTTTGACTATTATATATGATAACTAATGCTGCTATAAACATTCAGGTTTTTAGTGGATACATATTCTATTCAAGTTGTTTGTGTGGGGTAACAGTCTGACTGGCACACTTTGGGGGGAGTGTCTCTGGACTCAGTGCACATCTATTCTCTTAATTACCTTGTTTCCAGTAAGAATCCTCCACCCTATCTGTGTCCTGTGTCCCCTACTCTATAAACTCTTTATTTTACCATTTACAGAGAAGAAAACATCATCTGCTAAGGCAAGGAAGAGACAATCACCCAACTTCACTGATATAAAGAATCTTGGGATCCAATTGCTTTGAAAACAGTTCCAGGCTCGGTGCCTGTGGCTCAAGTGGCTAAGGCGCCAGCCACATACACCTAAGGTGGTGGGTTCGAATCCAGCCTAGGCCACCAAACAACAATGACGGCTGCAACCAAAAAATAGCTGGGCATTGTGGCAGGTGCCTGTGGTCCCAGCTACGTGGAAGGCTGAGGCAGGAGACTCACTTGAGCCCAGGAGTTGGAGGTTGCTTTGAGCTGTGATGCCACAGCACTCTACCCAGGGTGACAGCTTGAGGCTCTGTCTCAAAAAAAAAAAGAAAAGAAAACAGTTCCAGTTGTCTTTAACTATATAACAAATTACACAAAACACAGTATAAGGAAACAACCAATAGTCATTTATTATTATTTACTCATGGCTCTGGGTTCAGTGGGCTCAGGTTGGTGGTTCTCAGAGATTGCAGTTAGATAATAGCTGGGACTGAAGTCATTTCAAAGATTTCCTCAGGTCCTTGTCTGAAGTCAATGATGGGATTATGATGGAAGACCCAAACAGCAGGGCACTGAAACAGCTGGGCCTCCTAAGACACTTCTCTCTCTCTGATCTTTAAATGTCACCTTTCTCTATGGTGGCCACAGCACAGCTGGACTTCTTCCATGGTGACTAAAAGCTCCCAGAGACAGTGCCCCACAAGAAACCAGCAGAAACTACGTGATTGTTTTGTAGCTTAATCTTGAAAATCAGACAGAATTACATCCACCATCCTATTCCTTGCAATATTCTGTTCATCAAGGCCATCATAAAGGCTCACCCAGTTTTTAGGGGGCGAGGACATGGATTCCATTGAACATCATGTCAAAAAAACTGACTTTTTAAAGCTTTTTAATTGAAAAATAATTGTGCATGTTCATGGGTACATGTTTTGATATATACGTAGACTGATCTGATCGGGGTAATTAGCAGATCTACCACTTCTAGTTATCTGTCATCTCTTTATGTTTAGAACATTCAATATTCTCCTAACTATTGAAACTCTGTATTATTGTTAAATATAGTTACCCTCCAGTGGTAGAGAACACAGAACTTACTTCTATCTAACTGTAATTTTGTATCCTTTAACAAATCTATTTCTCCCTTCCTTCTAGCCTCCAAGCTCTAGCATCTCCTGTCCTACTTTTACTTCTATGAGATCAACTTCTTTTAGCTTCCACATATGAATCAGGACATGTGGTATTTAACTTTTTGTTCTTGGCTTATTATTTCACTCCAGTTCCTTTCATCTTGCTGTGAATGATAGGATTTCATTCTTTTTATGGCTGAATAGTATTTCCTTGGGTATATATATCACATTTTCTTTACCATTCATCCATTGTTGAATACCTAGTCTGATTCCATGCCTTGGCTATTGTGAATAGTGCTGCAATACAAATGCGTATGCAGATGTGTCTTCAATATACTGATTTTCTCTCCTTTGGATGAATGTCCAGTAGCGGGATTGCTGGGTCATGTAGCAGTTCTATTGTTATAATAGTTTTTGTGGACCCTCCATACTGTTTCTGTAGTGGCTACCCTAGTTTATATTCCCATGTGTATAAAAGTTCCCTTTTCTCTGCATCCTCACAAAGCATTTGTTATTTTTTCTTTTTGGTAATAGCCTTCCTGAGTTGATACCTCACTGTAGTGTTGACTTGCATTTCCCTGATGATTAGTGATGTTGAATATTTTTTCATATATTTATTGGCCATAAAAAGCACAGCCTTTTAATCAGTGCTTCTTATTTTAGCCACTTTCCCCTTCCCACCATCTTACCCCACCACAGTGGGGATCCTGACTGCCATAGGTTCCTGATCCTTTCTTCCAAAACTTTATGGCTTATTTTTCCTCCTTGTTTTTCTTTTATTTTGGCTATAACCTTTAAAAATTTATCCCATTATTTTAGTGGGATTTTTAGAGACAGAAAATTAGATTATCTTTAATTATAAGCTCTAATGTTACCCTAATTATTCACTGTGGAGCTGTCTTATACTTTCTCAGGTGTTTATCACAACTCTACTAAATTCAATACCTAATATGGTTATCTAGTTGCTTGTAAACGATGCCATATCCTTCTACCTTAGGTGCCACTGTTGGTCTCAAGCATTTCTGAGATTCATAGTCAAGTACTAGAAGAGGTTCAAAATCTGAATTTTGTAAAAGACAACAGCGCTACCTTTATTGAGAGGAAACTTAGTTTTGAGAAAAAGAAGCCTGTGCAGATTCCGGTGAGTTTGGCAGCACTCATGACAATGATGACCAGCACTTCTTTGCCTTGTTCACATGGTATTATCACATTATTTTCCATATCATTTACTTCATTCTAATATACTATAATTTACCTACTTATGTGCATAATTTCTTATCTATTTCAACCTTTATACTATAAACTTCATAAAATCATGGGGTTTTTGTTTTGTATATAATGTATCCCTAAAGTGCCTAAAATAGTGTTTGGCACATTTGACATATTTGTTGAATAAGATGTTATAGAGATAGATTGTATAATCCAACCCTTTCATTTTATAGATAAGGCATCCAGGCTCCATTGATGAAGTGGCTTAGTGCCAGAGCAGGAAAGGGTAAAGGCATCTTGACTCCTGCCTAATTTTTTAAAATTATTTCCCAGAAAAAGACATAAACATGTATTTAATTGAATATTATTTAACAAGCGCTTAATATGCAAGAGATTATCTACACAAGGCAAATAGTTTAAAAGTTCCTCAGCATCCTTGAGGGATTAGAACCTCTGCCTTCTTATTCTTTCTTCTCTACAACACTGCCCTCGTGTGCTTACTAGAGAATTTTTCACTGACTCATTCAGCTAGGTAATAGCCTGATCTACACCTTCATCTAGAATTAACCCCAAACCAATGTAGGACTTCTACATTTGAAAAATCTCCAGAGAAAACATATTTATCAACTCGGTTAGGGTTTTTTTTGTACATCTATCTAAACCAAACTTCTTCTCCCAGCCAGAAATGCCACGTCAAAATGACATTCACCGCTCCAAACTTCTGTCCACATACAGCGCAGAGGAACTTTACCAAGCTAAGCGCAAGTGCAATGCTACACAAGAATATGACATCAATCTTCTGGAAGGAGAGTTGGTGGCTGTGATGGAACAGAAAGATCCACTGGGGAGTACAGGCAGGTGGCTTGTTGACACAGGAAGTAAGTTTTTTTCCAGAACTCCCAACTATCTTTAAGATTTCCCCGGGGTCCTCTGTGTGCCTCTCTAAGCACACATTTGGAAAGCATATACACATGACTTTGGTTCTTCTTTCTTTTTATTTCCTATCCAGTTGTAAAAGGATATGTGTATTCCTCCTTCCTAAAACCCTACAATCCAGCAAAAACACAGAAAGTGGATGCTGAGAACAGGTTCTGTGACGATGATTTTGATAACATCAGCCTCTTTGTGTCTTCACGGCCAGCTAGTGACAGTGTCACAGGAACCCCAGAAAGCAGCATAAGTGATAGCAGCTCGTCTCTTAGTGGCACATGTGGAAAGTTTGAAACAAACGGCACTGATGTTGACAGTTTTCAAGAAGTAGATGAACAGGTAAGAATTTGAACCTTGATGTCTTGCCTGTGGAAATCATGAAGAACTGTTTTCTAACTGCACTCCACCTTACTGTAAAGACATGGTGGGGAAGTGTCAGCTCTGACATCAAGAAGACCTAGCCCCATTAGCACAGACTCTGTGTGGACTGTTTTGCAAGGAATTTAATTCTCTGAGCCTGTTTCCTCGAGCAAAAGAGGCCAGTAATTCCTTCTTTTCAGAGTTGATGTGAGGATTACCCTGAGGGTAATTTCCTGAGACCCTTAGCTGGAGACATTGCATACTTCAGGTATCACGCTGCCTGCCAGTGAGCAGATTCCTGATACTTTGACTCTCTCTGTATGCCAGCATGCCAGCCATGGCTGCCTCCACAGCAGTGTTTTCTGCCTGGCCTGGGCAGCCCAGAGAACTCCCACCTCCTGTGCTGCAAACACATGTTCTCCAACAAGGTCTGAATACCAACTAGCCTTGTGGAGGAATATCCCATCTTTAAAGTTTATTCCTACCTTGAGTATTCTCAGTCCTAGAATATCGAAGAGTTCTCTTTACACCTGTATAGTTACTCCCTTGTGATAGTTAATAACTTTTTATATTAAACTTACCCTATTCAAATTATAAAAAATTATCTGTTTAGTAACATTTATTGATTACTGTCTAATTAATGACTGATTTTTCTTAAAGCAGCTTAATTAAGGTTTTATTTACATAGCATAAAATTCATCCATTTTAGGGGTACAATTCAATGTCATTTAATATACTATGTATTTACAGAGTTGTGCCACATCATGCTAATTCAATTTTGGAACATTTATTCCACTCCAAAAGATCCTTTGCATCCATTTGTACTCACCCTTCTTTCCCACCCCAAGCCCCAGGAAACCACTAATCTGTCTCCATAGATTTGCTTTTCCAGTATCTTCCATATAAATAAAATTGTACAATATAAGATATTTTGCAGCTGGCTTACTTCACTGGCATGATTTATGCACTGGCATAATTTTGAGATTCTTTCATGTCCTAGTATGTATGTATACTTTGTTACTTTTCATTGCCTAATAGTATTCCATTCTAAAAATACAATATATTTTATCCATTCACTAGTTGATGGAGCTATTATGAATCATGTGCTATGAATACCTGTGTATGAGTCTTTGTGTGGATTTCATGTTTCCTGAGTATAAACCTAGGAATATAATTCCTGACAGATATCCATTTACTAGTTGATAGAGCTATTATAAATAATGCTGCTAGGAGTATCTGTGTACGAGTCCTTTGTGTGGATTTCAGTTTTCTTGAGGATAAATCTAGGAATGTAATTTCTTGTTGAGATAGTAAACTTATGTTTAACTTTTTAAGAACCTGCCAAACTGTTTTTTCAAAATTATACCATTTTGCATTTCCAACAGCAACGTATGAGGGCTGTGGGTTTCACTTTCCCCATATCTTTGCCAATATTAGCTATTATCTGTCGTTTGCTTATAGCCATGTTAGTGAGCGTGAGTGTGAAGTGGCATCTCTTTGTGATTTTAATTTGCATTTCCCTAACAACTAACAACTTTTCATGTGCTTATTCTTATGTTTTCTTTAGGAAACATCTATTCAAATATTGTTAGTTATTAAAAGTTGGTTCATTCATTCCTTTTGTTTTTCAGTTATCAGAGCTCTTCATAAACTCAGTAAAAGTTCTTTATTAGATATATAAAATTACAAATATTTTCTTTCAATCATGATTGGTTTTTACCTTGTTTGGTCATTTTGTGTTCTTATCACTCTTCTGTCTTGAAGTTTTAAAACACTATTTTTCTATTACTCGCTCATTCTCTTAGTTTATTCACAGTCCCTAGAAGGCATGTTATACTGTAACACTAACTAATAATTAAGTTTTTATCAGTGAAACCTGTATCCATGGTTAAATGTTCTGGCAGACTTTGCCTAATTCCAATAACCTAGAAGGGCAGAAATCTGAGGACCAAATTTGTTAAGACACCCTAAGCTACTATGGGCTAAGCACCTCATGTAGGCTCTTTCAGCCTGGCATTTGTAGTATAAGACTATTTCCTACTAGCTGGTACTGCAAACCAATTCTCTCCAAACAGTCCTATCAGTATGTATTAAATTAGGTCCATTAGAGATTGCCATTACCAGGAAAGGAAAAAAATAATTTTCTTTTTCTCAAAACAGAAATATATTAATGATATATTAATGATATCTCTCTATAAACTCTTATTTGCTTTCCTTTTCCTTTTAGTTGGCATGTAAACAATGCATTTTGGATCCAATTTTATTAGCAGTAATGTTTATATTTATATCCTTGACACCATGTCTACTTGGTGACACCTTTTACTACAAGGAAAAGAGGATACCTCTGCTGGAGACCCCAGTACAAGGGAGAAAAGAAGAAAAGGACATTTTCCTTAATGTCTTAACTCCAGCCAATGGAGGCACATGAGTCAATGGTTTTCAGAACCTCCCATAATGCAACTACTCTTCATCCTTCGAAAACAAAGGAAAAGAAGACAGGTGTGGTGACTCATGCCTATAATCCTAGCACTTTGGGAGGCTGAAATGAGAGGACTGTTTGAGGTTAGGAGCTTGAGACCAGCGTGGTAAACATAGTGAGACCTTGCCTAAAAAAAACTGGCCAGGTATTGTGGCACACACCTGCAGTCTCAGCTACTTGAGAGGTTGAGGCAGAACAATCACTTGAACCTGCACTACCCTGTATTCCAGGCTGAGTAACAGAGTCAGATCCTGTCTCTAAGGGAGAGAAGAGAACGAAAGGATTACATTACCTTTCTAATCCTTGCCAGAGAGCTGTTATTTCTATTCTATTTGCTCTGAAAGGAGCAGAAAATTGTTATTACCTATACTTGTGATATGATATTCAAAGAGAAAAATACATTATAAAAGTTCCTATAAGGTGATAGAAAAGTAGGAATGCATTGTATCATCTTTATGAATTATAAAAATACTTTGCATATTATAATATCTCACATTCAAGGTATCCTACAAAGCCATTCTTAATGTAGCTATTTAGACTTCTATTCTGTTATTTTATTATGTTCAGGAACATCAAGTGAAAGTGAAATTAGCTGAATCGGTCACCACTTTGGGTCAACATGTCTTTCCCTTCCTACTCTGGTAGCGCTTCTTCTGCTTTCCCTCAGAATTGCAATAGCACATTGCCAAGGGGTGTGTAGGATGTAATCTTGTCATTGATGGTTCTGGTGGACCCTGACAAGGAAAGGTGGATGGGTAGTCTTGGCATATACCTAATACCCAGGGGGCACCTTTGGGGTTCTGAAGATCATTCCTAAATAAGCAATTTCAAACTAATTTAGACTCTAACAGCTCTGTGATTACTCCAAGAACAAAGGAGGTCTACGAATGGGTTTCAGGGTCCTTCATGAAACCTTCAAGTATGTTATAAATGTGCTTATTTGCATACATACACATCTAGGGTGAAAAGTTTGTATCATTTAACAGATTTTCAAAGGAAAATTTTATACAGAAAGATTAGAAATCACTGTAGTAGAGGCTTAACTTGCTTATTAATTCTCTCCCTCAACCAAGAAGAGATTATTGTTAGGTAAAGAGCCTCCAACATTTTCTAGGATAGTTCTAGTGAATAAGGAACTCTCACAGGTAGGGTGAAAATAAAGCTTACCATATTCAGTGGGACAGTTCTGTTAATGAAAGAGCTCACTACAGGAAACACTGTGATATTACCTAATTGGGAGGTATGTTCATCCTACTTTGGGGAGCCTCAGAACAAAACCATTTAGGGTCCTTCATAAACATCTTATACAGAAAGCATGAACTTTTTCTGGGTATTTTAGAAGTTTCCCTAAATTATGATCTAGACTCCAGAGCTTTTGTGAAATAATGGGGATGAGCTAATGGATATTTACAGCCTGGCAGTATTGATCTACACCAAGGGACTTAGTATCTAAGTTAGTCACTTGCTGCTTTTGGGTGAAGAGTCTTTTGAACAAAAGCAGTCAAAAGAATATGCCTTTTCATTCTAATGTATTCTCTCCTTTTATGCATTAAGTAATGGCATGATCTGCGTTAGTGTTCTATGTTATATATCAAATTACCACAAGCTTAGTGGTTTAAAACAATACAAACTCGCATTTCAGTGTCTGTGGCCAGGAGCACAAGCACAGCTCAGCTGGATACTTGGCTCAGGACCTCACATGGCTGCAACTAGGTGTTTATTGGGCTGTATTCCTTCCTGAAGTGAGGGCTTCTCTTCCATGCTTATTGTGGTTGAAAGAATTCAATTTCAGGTTCTAGTAGGACTGAGGCTTCCATTTTCTTGCTGGTGATCAGCTGGGGACTACTTTTAGCAACTAAAGGATATTCCCAGATCCTTGCTATGTGACTATCTCTCTATAGGCGGTTTACAACATGGCTGTTTGCTTCTTCAAGGTCAGTAGATGAGCATTACTCTTGCCTCACACTTCTCCCATCAGTGTAGGCCTAGATGCTATTTAAAGGTCTCATCTGATTAGGTCAGGCCCACCCAGGATAATCTCCTTATGACTAACTCAAAGTCAAATTCCTAGGGACCTTAACAGGCATCTCTGCAAAATCTTTTTTTTTTTTTTTTGAGACAGAGCCTCAAGCTGAGCCCCTGGGTAGAGTGCCATGGCTTCACTGCTCACAGCAACCTCCAACTCCTGGGCTCAAGCAAGTCTCCTGCCTCAGCCTCCCAAGTAGCTGGGACCACAGGCACCCGCCACAATGCCCGGCTATTTTTTGGTTGCAGCCATTATTGTTGTTTGGCGGGTCTGGGCTGGATTCGAACCCGCCACCCTAGGTGTATGTGGCTGGCGCCTTAGCCATTTGAGCCACAGGCGCTGAGCCAAAATCTCTTTACCTTTGCCATATTATGTAGCCTAATCATAGGAGTACAACTTCATTATATCAACAAGTCTCACCCATAACCAAGAAAAGGGATTATATAGGACATGTGCAATAGGAGATGGGAATTCTAGGTTCCTTTCTAGAATTCTGCCTACCAAAATATCTAATATGCCTGTTTTGACAAGCACAGTGTTGTCCTTACCACTTCTCAAAGAGGACCAGGTTTAATAATGGCTAAAACCCAGTTTTAGAGGTTAGTTCAATGTCTAAGAATTAGTACATTTTTTTCACATAAATAATATTAAAAATAAATTTTTGACTTCTAAAATGTTAGTTATTTTACAATCCCAAGTTCCATGGTGTAGTCCATCTTTACATTTTCAACTACTTATGATGATGATACTATATGTCTGTCATTGTTTAGAGAATGCTTAAAAAAGTCAACAAGGAATATACCATACTATATCTAAGTAGTCATTAAAATGATGCTTTGAAGAATTATTTATTGACATGAAAAGATTTTCAAATATATTCTGTGAAAAACAGGCAGCAAAATTTATTATACTATATGTCCATTTTACTACTTAAGGTAGGTATGCAGAGATAAAAAACAGAAGGAAAAAAAGAAGAGTAGAAGAGAGTGAGGAAAGAAAGATACAAAGGGCAGTTCAGGTGGGGCTGGGGGATTTTTTTTTTTTTTTGCTTAACTTTATTTAAAATTGTTTCTTCATCAAAATTGTTTGTAAAATAAAAATATATAATTATTAAATGAAGAACATGAAAGGTTGCTCCTGAAGGAGCTTTTTGAGCTACATATAATACTGTAAATGGTAGTTTTGTGGCTTTTTAGTTTCAGAAAAGAAGATTAAAATATATTACGATTTTTGTTGCTGTTAATTGGAGAACTGGGATGAAATCAATAAATTGAGATTCATTGGAGACAGGCAATGTGGCTTGCTAAGAGAAGAAAAATAAAATGCACAAATATAGAATAAGGGAATGCTGACCTGGCAAAGGTACCACAGGGAAAGATCTGTGGTTATAACAGAAGGTAATAAATTAGGTATGAGTCAATAATACAGAGTGTTATTAAAAAAAAAGTGAATGTCATGGAGAACTGAGTTGGATTCATAACATATTGTATATAAAATGAGCTAGAGCTTTACAAAGTGCAAAGCAGCAATCAATGAAACATACTTTAATAAATGCCAAGGAAAAAGATTAGATGATTATGACTCAAATTAATAACGTTTTAATTCATGTGTGCAGACCAAAACATATTAACATTTTAAGTTAAAAAAGATACAGTCTAAAACAAATGAAATACTGGGAAAAAAATGAGAAATCTTCCAGCTCTTAAATCCATGACAGGTTGAAAACATCTAACTTGCAGTCTAATATTAAACATACTAAAAATACTAAAAATGACTTTAAAAAAGCTATAGAAGGCACTAATGATAAAGAGAATGCTCTCTTTAAAAGCAGACTTATTTCCATTTTGAGTACAGAACATAATAAATGCCTCCATTTAATACAAATTACATGAAATCTGAAAAATGCTCATCGTCAATTAATTTTGGCCAAGATTATCTAAACTACTGAGAACGTACTTTCAATTTTCTACTTTATATGTACAATTTCTTATTTATTTTTATTTTATTATTATTATTTTTTGAGACAGAGTCTCGGCTATCACCCTGGGTAGAGTGCTGTGGTGTCACAGCTCACAGCAACCTCAAACTCTTAGGCTTAAGCAATTCTCTTGCCCCAGCCTCCCAAGTAGCTGGGTGTACAGGCGCCCACCACAACGCCTGGCTATTTTGTTGTTGTAGTTGTCATTTTTGTTTGGCAGGCCCAGGCTGGATTCAAGCCTGCCAGCTCCAGTGTATGTGGCAGGCACCCTAGCCACTGCTATAGGCACCAAGCCTAAATTTACGATTTCATGAAAATCTATATTTAATGTTTAAAATATAAACTATATTACAGTTTTATGCCAAATAGATTTAGGTGAAAGTGTTTGCATTCCCCCTTCAGAGAATCTGTGCTAAATCAAAAAACTACCACAAATATTTAGGAAAGTATATTTGTAGGTAATCCAACCTGCTGAAAATCTATAGCTGCACTGGTAAAGCATGTTTTTTATAAAAATTGAAAAAGATAAGGCTGGGTATAGTGGCTCATGCCTGTAATCCTAGCACTCTGGGAGGCCGAGGCAGGTGGAGTGCCTGAGCCAGAGCAAGATCCCATCTCTAAAAATAGCTAGGTGTTGTGGGGGGCACCTATAGTCCCAGCTACTCAAGACGCTAAGGCAAGAGAACTGCTTGAGCTCAGGAGTTTGAGGTTGCTGTGAGCTGTGACATCACAGCATTCTATCAAAGGCAACAAAATGACTCTGTCTCAAAAAACAAAAATTGCAAAAGATAGTTAGCAACTGCTTCCAAGTTCTTACACATTATTTCAGAAATTGTATTACAGTTCATCACATTCCTAAATGTTTTTGCAAAACAAATCCTCTGCTCTGTGGATCTACTCAATGTTTTCACTTCCTAAATGACAACAAAACAGCAGCAGCAATAACATATTACACTCCAGTTCCTTTCCCCAAGAAGCGACTCTGCACATTTTCGCTAGAACAAGAATTTGGCTCCTAAAGCACTATGAGAAACTGACCAAGCATAGGATTTGGAGTTAGATGATATGGTTCTTAAAGGACAAATTAGCCCTATGATTAAGAATATGCTTCTTTTTCAAGTCAGAATTCACAGGGTTGTTGAGGATAAAGCCCATTTGACATGTAGACTGTCATGAGCTCTATAAAAGGTAGTTATTGTGCTGCCACTCTGTGCTATGGAATTTACAGCAACTCCTATTTTGTTTTCTTCATGTCTAACAATTTCTCTTATATGTATCTTACATGATACAAGATAATTTTGTGCACAATCTCTTGTATGATATCCAAGCCCTTCAGTCTAACTTTCAGGGCAAATCAACAAATACAAGGTGTCCATAAACTTTGTGTGCGATTTTAGTATTTTAAATCACACGTGAACTTTATGCACACCTTGTATTTAAATTCCTCCTATGTACCATGATGTAGAGAAAAGTTTAAATGTGTATCTTAGTGCATTCAGGCTGCTATAATTAAATACCATAAACTTGCTGACTTTCAACAGAAATTTATTTCTCAAAGTGGGGAGGCTAAAATTCCAAGATCCAGGCACCAGCTTATCTGGGGTCTGATGAAGGCCATCTTCTCACTGAGTCTTCCCATGGTGGAAGTAGTGAAGGGTTTCTCTTGGGCTCTTTTTCTCCTTAATGAACAAATCCCATTCATGAGGTCAGAGCCTAATCACCTCCTGAGGCTCCCTACCTCTTAACATCCTAACTTTAGGAGCTAGGATTTCTTTCTTTTTTCTTTTCTCTTCTTTCCTTCCTTCTCTCTTCTGATTTCTTTCCTTCCTTCTCTCTTCTCTGATTTCTTTCTTTCTTCTCTTTTTTCCCCAACCTCTGCTTTTTACTTTCTTTCTTTCAAGACAGGGTCTCACTGTCACTCAGGTTGGAGTGAAGTGGGGCAATCATAGCTCCTTGTAGCCTCAAACTCCTGGGATCAAGTAATCTTCCTACTTAAGCCTCCAGAGCTGTTGGGACTGCTGGGACTACAGATGCATGCTGCCACAAGCACATGCTGAAGAAGCTTAGGATTTCAAGACATGAATTTTGGAGTCACACAAATATTCAGACCATAGTAATGTGGTTCCTTAAAGTGTAGTTCATACAAGTCAAGTGGATATACCAATTAATAGAAGCAGAATTTCATCATAAGTTAAATGATAGCTGAATATTTAAATAAGCTATAACTGTCTCATCTCTTTCTGTTCAATAAAATCATCTAATTTCTAAGTCTCCTTCATCTACTGACTCTTGATTTTGAGTTAATCTGCTTGCCTTTTCCTATATGTTATTATTTTCATGTATTCATTTCTATAGCTTTGAACGTGATGTACTCATCCCCTTTGTAGACTTTGTCATTTACAAAAGGTTACTTATTTGAAAACCCACCCCACTCACCATTAGCTGACGTATCATCTATGTGTAGTGTTTTATGGGTTATGTGTGTGTAGGTTTTTTTGTTTTGTTTTGTTTGTTGACATTATTTTCCTAGCTGAGTTGTAAGTACCTAAAACAGTATCTGGTACTTACTAGGTATTTCATAAAATAACTGAATGAATAAATATTGTTAGCTAATTACTCAATTTTATAACATAACTAAATATTTTCACTTTTAGTCTTAGTATTTTATGAAGGAAGAAGAGCTAACTACTTGTTTGGGGGCTTCTTATATACCTAATAACTGTAAAGTGCTCTCTAGCTGTCAGAGAAAAATTCTCTTGATGAAACATTTGATTAGTGTCTTCCAGTTCACTTAATTTTTAAAATTATAAATTTATTACATTGTCATTATACAGGTTTAGAAAATAAAGGTACAAAGAAGTAGAAATGCAAATCACTTATAATCTTACTAAAAAAAAAAAGAAAGAAAATCACTTATAATCCTATGTTTCGAAAAAACAACCAACAATATTAGACTTATTTGTACATCTAATATTGTATCTCTTTTTTTTGCAGGGGGGAGAGAGGGGCAGGGGAAAAAAAGATATTTTTAATGACTACAAATTTCCTTAGTATAAGGGATCTAAAATTTAACTATTATTCTCTTGCTGAACTATTAGTGTTATTCTCACTTCCCACATCTCACCTTTCATTTTCGTTTATAGTAACACTGTTGTGGAAAAATCTCTGCCAATGTTTCTATTTCTGTAGAAGAGATTCTTAGAGCTATTATTGATTCAAAAGAAATTAGCATTTAAAAATATTTTATAGAAATTGTCAAATTGCCTTCAAGCATGGTCAGTATTGACTCCTACCCACAGAATAATAAAAATGCCTGTTTCATTCCATTCTCATTTGGGTCATATTTTAAAGAAATAAATCCAATAAAACAAGTCAGACAATGTGATATTAAAAAAATTTAAAAAGTTTTAACATTGCTTCTAAAAGTTTGCAAATTACTGTTTCTCTAAATGTTTAGGTTCCAGTTTCATTGAAATCATTTTCTTCTTTGCCTAGGTTTTCTATGCAGTTCATGCTTTTCAAGCACGGAATGACCATGAACTCAGCCTTCAGGAATACCAAAGAGTCCATATACTTAGGTTTTGCGACCTAAGTGGCAATAAAGAATGGTGGTTAGCTGAAGCTCAAGGGCAAAAAGGATATGTGCCAGCTAACTACCTTGGGAAGATGACTTATGCATAAAAAGATAAGCCTTTGACTTATTTTCTTCCAAGCTGTTGACTGACATCTCATAAAACAGACATTACAAAGCTTTGGACCAGAAAGCAGGAAACCTCCAAACTACATGAACTGATACTATATCAGGTTTTAAGGAAGACTGTACTTTCTAATGAAATCATTTCACAAATTATTATAAAGAATTCATGTTGAAGGAAATATTAAGCTTTTTTGTTTGTTTATTTTTTGGCATTCTTGGCCGGGCCTGGGTTTGAACCTGCCACCTCCGGCATATGGGACCCGGTGCCCTACTCCTTTGAGGCACAGGTACCGCCCCAGAAATATTAAGCTAACAGAAACAGCAAAGCAAACAGCCCAAGCTCCAACTATCAGCTATATAAAAGTAGAGATCTTTTGAAAGGGTAATGTGTTTTTTATCATCATGACAGGCTGGATGTAAGGATAAGTTTTTCA